AATCCAGGAACATGAAAGGCACTGCAGACTAATCCAACCAGAGAAGTCAGCCATAGCAGAGCACATGATGACCCAACCTGGAAACAGTATATTTCCAGAAATGCTGGACCACTCTAACAACCACCATGTCAGACTAGACAGAGAAGCCATTGAAATCCACAAGCATGTGGACAAAATCTGGCTACCAGTATTTTTAAAAAAACTCTAAAATCAGGACAGTAAACAAAGAACAACACTCAGAAAACGGGAATTCCAGACAGGAAACAATCCGGTCCAGCTAACACCTCCCAACAAAAGACTCCCCCAGGCAGGAAGGAACCAGGCTTTGAAGTTGCAAGACCATTCAGTGCTAATCAAGATGGCCAATTGCAATATTCACACTTGCCTCAAACAGACAGGAGTTTTTTCTCCCATCCTGGACATTCCACAGACATACCCTCCTTGCCTAGTTTCCAACAGACCTCACAAACTTTGAGGATGCCTGCCATAAATGTCTGCAAATTGTCAGGAGAGAATGCTTTTCGAACATGGCCAAATAGCCCGGAAAACTCACAGCAACCCAGTGATTCCTGCCATGAAAGCCTTTGACAACACATCAACATAATTAACTTTTTAAAATAATTTTCATACCAGAATTTGGGATATTGATAGGAATTAGAATTCAAAATGTCCAGGTATGATTTTACCTATTGGGTCTCCCCCCCCCCCCCCAAAAGCAACGGTTTTTGCAGATTTATTATAGTTTTGCTATCAGATGGGGTAAGAACAAGAGCAGTGTAAGGCTGTAGCAGAGGTTCATATTTCCTTTCTTCTTTGATGTTGTTTTCTGTCCTGTAAAACTTTGGACCATGTTAAGATCTGGATTATGTTTAATCAGTTGTGGAATATTCCCCCTAATTTCCATAACGTTTTGAAACTAGCCTTAAATCTCCAATTAGCTGAAACATTTTAAAGAATGCCTTTTAGTGCCAACAGTGTTAAACATTGGCATAGTATAATCCAGGCATGGGCAAACTTCACAGTCCAGGTGTTTTGGACTCTTAACTACCACAATCCATAACAGCCTACTGTTAAGAATTGTGGGAATTGAAGTCCAAAACACCTGGAGGGATGAAGTTTGCCATGCCTGCTTTATTCTGACATGTATCACAAAGTTGACCTTGATGCTGTGCTACAGATTTGCAAGGCAAGGTACTTTGTGAAAATTGTTAGTCATACCTAACTTGGAGTGTGTCTGTATACATACATACATATGCACATGCAGATTAGTATCTGTGATTATATACATCACACTGGTATACATACATACATGCACTAGTGGAATAGGTATGTTCATCAATTATTTCACAGTGGTTGTGTCCATAATGTCTACTTTGACATGTTAGAAGAAAACAAACCAAAATAGGTAGAGAAGAAGTCCAGGAATATCTGGTTACTCTAAATGAATTCAAGTCTCCAAAGCCAGATGAGCTACATCCAAGAGTATTGAAGAAAGTAGCAGAAGTCATTTCAGAACCACTGGCAATAATCTTTGAGAACTGTTGGAGAACAGGAGAAGTCCCAGCAGACTGGAGGATAAATGTTGTCCCTATCTTTAAGATGGGGGAAAAAGAGGACCCAAACAATTGCCATCCAGTCAGCCTGACATCAATACCAGGAAAGATTCTGGAGCAGATCATTAAGGAGGCAGTCTGCAATCACTTAGAAAGGAATCTTATTATTACTAAAAGTCAGCATGGATTTCTCAAACACAAGTCATGCCAGACTAATCTCTTTTTTCAATAGAGTTACAACATTGGTAGATACAGGGAATACTGTGGATGTAGCATATCTTGATTTCAACAAGGCCTTTGACAAAGTCCCCCGTGACCTTCTTGCAAGCAAACTAGTAATTAGGCAATGCTACTATTAGGTGGATCTGTAATTGGTTAAGAAACCAAAACCAAAGGTTCCTCTTCATCCTGGAAAGAAGTGACTAGTGAATTAATGCAGGGTTCAGTCCTGGGCCCAATTCTGTTCAACATATTTATTAATGACTTGGATGAAGGTTTTGAGGGTGTGCTTATCAAGTTTGAAAATGATACCAAGTTAGGAGGCATAGCTAATACTCCAGAGGACAGGATCAGAATTTAAAATAACCTTAACAGATTGGAGAGCTGGACAAAACTAACAAATGAACTTCAACAAGATGTATAGGCAGAAAAAATGAAATGCAAAGATACAGGATGGGCGACAACAGTTCATGGGGAAAAGATCATGGAGTCTTCATGGAGAACAAGTTGAACATGAGCCAACAGTGTGATGCAGCAGTTTAAGAAGCCAATGGGATTTCAGGCTGCATCAAAAGTGACATAGTGTCTAAATCAATGGAAGTTGTGATGCCTTCGTATTCTGCTTTGGTTAGACCTCACCTGGACTTTGTTGTTCATTCGTTCAGTCGTCTCCGACTCTTCGTGACCTCATGGACCAGCCCACGCCAGAGCTCCCTGTCGGCCGTCACCACCCCCAGTTCCTTCAAAGTCAGTCCAGTCACTTCAAGGATGCCATCCATCCATCTTGCCCTTGGTCGGCCCCTCTTCCTTTTGCCTTCCACTTTCCCCAGCATAATTGTCTTCTCTAGGCTTTCCTGTCTCCTCATGATGTGGCCAAAGGACTTCAACTTTGTCTCTAGTATCCTTCCCTCCAGTGAGCAGGCTTTATTTCCTGGAGGATGGACTGGTTGGATCTTCTCGCAGTCCAAGGCACTCTCAGAACTTTCCTCCAACACCACAGCTCAAAAGCATCTATCTTCCTTCGCTCAGCCTTCCCTAAGGTCCAGCTCTCACATCCGTAGGTTACTACAGGGAATACCATGGCTTTGACTAGGCGTATCTTTGTTGCCAGTCTGATGTCTCTACTCTTTACTATTTTATCGAGATTGGACATTGCTCTCCTCCGTTTCGCTCATGACATCATTGAGGTGCTCAAGCTCCAGCGCCCCGACAAGGCAGTGATCCTTTGCTGGAGTCACCTGGACTACTATGTCCAATTCTGGGCACCACAGTTCAAAAGAGATATTGACAAACTAGAAGGTGTTCAGAGGAGAGCAACTATAATGATCAAAGATCTGGAGACCATGCCCTGTAAGCAGTGTCTTAAAGAGCTGGGCATGTTTAGCCAGCAGAAGAAAAGATTGAGAAGAGACATGCGAGCCATGTATACATATGCAAAAGGATGTCACAAGGTTTCCCTTGTTTCCCTTGAAACCAGGACTAGGAGCAATTCGTTGAAATTACAGGAAAAGAGATTACACCTTAACATTAGGAAGAACTTAATGACTGTAAGAGCTGTTCATCAGTGGAACTCTCTGCCTTGGAGTGTGATGGAATTTCCTTTCTTGGAGGCTTTTAAACAGAGACTGGATGGCCATCTGTCAAGGACTATTCAATTGTGCTTTTCCTGCAAGATGGGGTTGGGCTAGATGGCCCACGTTGTCTCTTCCAACTCTATTCTCATGTGAGACTGACTCATACCTTCCTGTCCTCCTAATCTGAGCTGACCCTTCTTGTCAGTTGCATAAATAGAAAGGAAAAAAAATCCCTGCAAATAGCTGCTTACCACGGTTCCAATTATAAGTACAAATAGACCATCTGTTTGAGGGCTTGCCTTTTTTAAAGTCCATGGATCCGGTGATATATTTAGATATCAAAGTGCCCAGAGTTGAGTAAGCTGCACAATGGAAACAATGATACAGAAACCAACTAGCCTCTGCCTAACCTTGAATAGGCCGTATCCTTGTTGCTCCTCTCCAACACACCATAAATCAAATGCTCCAACCACCCTTAGGACAGGTATGGGCAAACTTGGGCAGTTAGGAATTGTGGGAGTTGGAGTCCAAAACACCTGGAGGGCCGAAATTGGCCCATGCCGCCTCTGGAGGTTACATATCCACTGAAATAGAGCCTATGGCACCAAGCCCCCATTTTGTTGTTGTTTACTTGTTATATATTCAGTTATATATGTGAGTGATATATATATCACATATGTGTGTATGGTATAAATATATATATCACACAAATATATATGTGTGTATGTGATATATAAAAATATCACATGGTTATGTGTTATATATCACAGTTATATGCTATATATATATATAACATATAGTTGTGTGTGATATTATATATTATATATTATGAGAACGGATCTGATTTCAACTGAGGCGTTATATATGTTGTTTGTTGATTTGTCCTGTCTGATTGTTAATTGTTGTGGATCGACGTTGTCGATCCTGTTGTTGCATTGTTGTGTTTTAATTGCACTGTAAACCGCATTGAGTCGCCTGTTAAGGGCTGAAAAATGCGGTATAAAAATGAAGCAAATAATAATAAATAATAATAAATACATACATTATTTCTGTCCCGCCAATTTCAGCCCAAAGGCGTCTCAGGGCAGTATGTTATATATATATGTGTGTGTATATATATGTGTATGTGATATATATATAGATAGATAGATAGATATATATATAGTTATGTGTGTGATATATGTTATATATGTGTTATATATGTGTATATGATATATATAGAATATGTATAGTTGTTATACATATATCACACATAGCTATATATGTGATATATATATCATACATATAGTTATGTTTGTGATATATATAATAGTTATGTGTGTATGTGATATATATATATATAACATGTATAGTTGTTATACATATATCACACATAGCTATATATGTGATATATATATATCATACATAGTTATGTTTGTGATAAATACAGGGTTAGTCAAAATGAATAGGCCAATAAGAAAATTAATTTTAGACGAATGTATGTTTATTGTAACCAAACTACAGCTACGTAGCGACAGATAAACTATCAAAGTTTTGTCTCACCTTCAGAGATGTTCGATATGGGCGCCCCATGTGACACGGCAGATGTCCAAGCGATAGTCCAGTTCATTCCACATCCGTTGCAGCACATCCGACGTAATGGCATCGAATGCAGCAACGTCTGGGAAGGTGTTCGTTGAGGTCCTAACCCTAACCCTAACCCTAACCCTAACCCTAACCCTAACCCTATCCCTAACCCTAACCCTAACCCTAACCCTATCCCTAACCCTAACCCTAACCCTAACCCTAACCCTAACCCTATCCCTAACCCTAACCCTATCCCTAACCCTAACCCTAACCCTAACCCTAACCCTAACCCTTGAAATTCTCGCTGGACCGTAATTACTGACATTGTTTTAGCAAATGTCATCACACAAAACGCCTTCTCTTTGCTTGATTCCGCCATTTTGAAAACAGCGACCCCTAGCGACGCCTAGCGGCATTAACGTACATGTGTGTTGGCTCAAAAAAAACTTTGATAGTTTATCTGTCGCTACGTAGCTGTGGTTTGGTTACAGTAAACATACATTCGTCTAAAATTAATTTTCTTATTGGCCTATTCATTTTGACTAACCCTGTATAATAGTTATATGTGTATGTGATATATATATATATAACATGTGTAGTTGTTATACATATATCACACAGCTATATATGTGATATATATATATATATATATCATATAGTTATGTTTGTGATATACATATTAGTTATATATGCATTATATATATTTCAGTTATATATGTGTATGTGATATATATACATGTATGTTATACATATATCACATAGCTATATATGTGATATATATTAGTTATATATGCATTATATATATTTCAGTTATATATGTGTATGTGATATATATACATGTATGTTATACATATGTCACATAGCTATATATGTGATATATATTAGTTATATATGCATTATATATATTTGTTATATATGTGTATGATATATATAACACATGTAGTTATGTTATACATATATCACACATATAGTTATGTGTGTGATATTTATATAATAGTTATATATGCGTTATGTATATATGTGTATGTGATATATATATATCACATGTTGTACCTGTATCACACATAGCTATATATGATATATATAGTTTTGTGTGTGATATATACATCATATATAGTTATATATACGTTATATATACATATATATCACATATATAGTTATATGTGCGTGTGATTATCATACTTATCACAGAGCACCTATTGTCTGAGCTACATAAATTCCCGCTTTTTGTACAGGAAGCTCCCAGGCAAAGCCAAGAAGGGGGCGTGGCTATCGCTCTGCAAGCCCCGCCTCTCTCTTGTCTTGAGATGACATCACAGCGCCAGCCTCTTCTGTTCTCTCAGAGGCGGGGCGTGGCTACCTCTTTGAGACCCCGCCCTCAGGGTGACGTCACGTCGCCGTCCCGCTTTCCGCGCACCGTCCGCAAAGGGTGCGCGCGCACTCCCTCCTTCCTCTTTCTCGTCGCGTTCCTGTGACATCATCAGCCTTCCTTCCTTCCTTTCCGGCCTGTCTGGCGGCGTGTGAGGAGGTGAGGCGCGGCCTGCTCCGTGTTTGGCGGGTCTCATCCTTTCTCCCGGGAGTCAGGCTAAGGAATGGGGAGCTGGGGTGAAGGAATAAGGGGATATGGCTAGCTTTTTCATGCTTTTTGAAACAGGAGGAAGGCCTAAGAGAGGTTTGGAGGGGATTCCCTTCTGTAAATAGGCCTTCACTGGATTATGGTGCCCCTTGCACCATTGTGATGCCCCTCTTGCACTGTTTTGTGATACCCCCCTTGCACACTATAATAGTGCCCAAATATTATGCCCCTTGCACTATCATAACACCTCTCTCATGAGTGTAAAGTTTCCTCTTATTACAATTACCAGAATTCTTCTCTTCCTCCTCTTCTCCAGGCCTCTTGATAATAATAATAATAATAATATCTTTATTTATATCCCGCTTAGTCTTTATTTATATCCCAAAGCGGCTTCCAACATATTACTATCATACACAAACCTCAATCCAAACCTATATATAAAGCAATATGGTTTATGTTGTATATGTTTTATGTAATGTGTTATTTTTTATTTGGGGTTATGCTTTTTGTGTCAAGAATTTTTTTTCTGTTTCATACATTGTTTGCTACTTTGATTCCCACCCATGGGAGAAAAGTGGGATAAAAATAAATAATAATAACACTTTGTAACAGTTAATGCTGAAGAGGCACCATATATTCATTTGGCACTCCTCCTCCTTTTCTTCTCTGGGCTCTTTGTCACAGCCAAGTATTTTTCAAATTAAGATTTCCTAGACAGCAAATGTAGCTCAGCATTCCTGGAAATTTCACTCTTTCCATAATAGTCACAGCCAGAACTTTTTTGAAAAATAATAATTTTATTTCTTACCCGCCTCTCCCTGTGGCGGGTTACAAAACAATTAAAATACATAGGCACAGCAAAAACATTACAAATACACACATTAAAACATACCTCCATAAAAGTTACTGTACATTCCAAGATGTACCTCTATGAAATACACTTTAAAATAGAGAAAACAGAGATCACACAGGGGACATGCATTAAATTTTATGTTTATGTTTAAAGAATGTCTGGATAGGCCTGCTGGAAGAGATAGGTCTTTACATGGTTTTACAATTCTGACAGGTCTTTAGCTGTCAGAGTTCTTCATTTGGCAGATTGTTCCACAGCTTTGGGGAGGCGAATGAAAAGGTCCTCTGGGTGGTGGTTGCCAATCGGGTTTTGGCTAGTTGGAGTACTGGAGAAGATGATCCTTTAGGTAACCTCGACCAAAACCATGTAGGGCTTTAAAAGTCAAAACCAACACCTTGTACTTTGCCTGGACACTAAGTGGCAGCCACTAGAGTGAATTTAGGGTAGGTGTGATATGCTCACTCCTAGATGTTCCCGTAACCAGTCTGGCTGCCGTATTTTGAACCAGCTGGAGTTTCCGAACTTGGTACAAAGGTAGCATATATAAAAATGAAGCATATTTAAAAGTTAAGGAAGAATTTGAAATCCATTACAGTCAGTTTGCTGGCATCCTGTTTCAGAAGTGTGTTTAGGATGGGTAAGTTTAGTTAATGCAGTGCTTCTCAACCTGTGGTAAAATTAATGCTTGGTCAAAGTACATCACAAGATACAATTTTCAGGGCTAAAAGTGTACTTCATGATGGTGGCAGATGAAAGATTTTTTTTTTCCTTTCAGGTAGTGATATATCTTCTCAGCATTTTCCTATTTCACGTTATCTGTGGCAAGCAATCTTGTATTAAACAATGCAGAACGACGCTGGAGAATTCGTGGACCTATATGTGCCCCGCAAATGGTAAGTATACAGGTCATGTATTAAATGGCCAGCCTGTCTTGAATAAATTGAAAAATAGCTCTTTACAGAGAACAAGCAGTATTAGTCTACAGCAAACAGTCTGTTGGCACCTTTAAGATTTAACCAATATTATTTTGCATAAGCTTTGTGACGCGCAGCCTACTAACATAACTAAGTAAAATAAGAATTTACCCAGTGAGCTTTTTGTTCATCTGTTCCTCCCTCGCTGTCTTCAATAAGTCCAGTTCAGTGAAACCTGCCAACGCCATGAAATACAGCTTGTTTTAGTTTGACCATAAATAAGCTGACCACAGTATGTTCTCATTTGGACTATCCAAAAAGTAGTGAATAATGTACAGTGGGAACAAATTATACCCAGAATCCTCTAGTTGTTCCGAAAGATTTGTGAATTGTGAATATTGTCTTAAAAAGATAATTTTTCAACCTCTATTTAAATAGACTTTTGTGTGTGCCATAGCTTACTGAACATCTTTAGCGACCAATATATATAGCAAATCTACCCAGAGGAGATCCCTAACTCATTGCCTTTCCCAGCATAAATCTTCTTGGTCATTGTGCTTATAGCCTTATTTTATCATTATATCTTCTACAGTAGCTTCATTCTGTTGATGCTCTTTAGGACATTTAGTGACTCTGGTGTGCCCACCTGCATACATTTTGCCCCTTGACAATCCTGTTTCACATATAGGATTCAGTTGCACTTTATTTGTAGTTAAACATTACTTCATCACTGGTGATCTGAGCACTGTTGTATTCACCTCACCTCTTGGGAATAATGTACCACTTCATGTTTGTTGGTGAACACTTGCAATGGGATATGATGTTCCACTGCACTGAGGTGAAAGCCACACGTTGTGGAGAGGGGAAAGAATGATGTTTTAAAATAAAACATTTCAGGAAGAATGGATAGAAGAAGCAAGCAGTTCTAAAGGGTGGAAAGATAGGCCAATTATCCAATTGTTTACATATACTTATTTCAAGTATATGCAAAAAAATGGTTAGTACATCATCAAGTATTCTTCTTTCTTGATATTCACAATGGAATAAAACTTTGAGCAGTGCATCACCTAGGAGAACTTGTTTTTCCATACTACTAGAAAACAACAAATATAATTGATTACAGTCCTCGATTATTGAACTTATATATTAAGAACGTTACCACCAGATGAACATTCAGTGAGGAGGCGAAACCAGTTGTGGATGGTGGATGAGTTCTGTCTCATACAACAAGTAATAAGAGCACTCTTCGTGTGTGAATACAGCAGTTTTACGTGAAGAAGAGTGCATTCATCTGTTAAAAGAGAGAAATAGTGGAAGTTTCCTTAACAAGAAAGAAGAATACGATTTTTATATGAACATTACAGCCTCTTGTCAAGAGTATATTTATCTTTATAGAAAGTCATAAGTATATTCATTATATTATGAATGCAACAGTCTTATGTTTCACTGTATATACTACACTTGATTATGTCCTAACAATTTTTTGCATATACATTTGTCTATTGAAACAAGTATATGTTTACTATCACTCTCACTCTTATACCATTGGAACTATGGATAATTGCCTTTCTGATCCTAGGAAATCCATTTTCTTTGATATCATTTCATGGGAAAAAGTAGTCAGCAGATCAATAAATGCGGAAGGGCTCAAGGTATAAAGTTAAAAACCACAGAATAAATGGGAATCAAGAAAATGAGTTCATGGGGTAGTGACTGTGGTGAGGTCTTGGGATGTCAAAAGAGATTATTCTAAGAACTAGACGAATGCATCTCAGCCAATAAATATTTTTGTGGCTGCCTTATGAGACTGAGATAGTGTATCTGTTTGTGTACCTTCAAGTCGCCTGTCAGTTTATGGCAATGACACATCCATTAGTATTTTTAAATAGGTTGAATTAAATATAAAAACTGCATGTGCATATCTGATCATACAACCATAGTTAGTATCAATTGTCCAACCCACAGCTTAGGGCAGAAATTCCAAGTAGACCCTGTGGAGGCTTTGTTTTGTTTTGTTCTTTAATAGAACTGCAAAACTTGTAAATGGATACTAGTCTTGTGCTTTGATTATGTATTCTTTTGTGTTTTTTATATATTTTCAGTTCTGCAAGTAACAGGATAATTGGGGCAAAAGACCATGCTTCCATCCAAATAAATATTTCTGAGGTAGGTATAACATCAGATCATAGAAGATGAAAACTATAAATATTCCACATTTTAGTTAATTTCATTTAATGAGATTTTCAGTTTGCTGTTCACAAGGACCGAGTAGTAGTAGTGATGACAAAAGTCACCTTTAGAGGTGCTAGGCTTCTAAGGCAAAATAAGAATAGAGTCAATACAGTACTATGTATAACAATAACATCACTGTAATCATTATAGCTTTTCTTGGACTTGGGTCACTCTAAAGGATGCAAAGGATGAGCAATTGCTGTGCTAACCTTTCCTCTGCAAAGGAGAGCCAAATGCAGCAGTGCATATGCAGCAATATAGGACTAAGGACTTTGAGAGTCTAAAGGTCACACATAGAAGGACAGAAGGAGAGATAGTGAATGATGCTGAAGCAAAGAACAACTAATAATCCCACCATAGTACGGCATGTCGTTTAGTTTTATTACATACTTCTACCCCCTCCCCTTTAAAAAAAACCTAGTTTAACTTGTCAGCATTTCCCTTTGCTTTCTAAATTCCTGCTTTGATTTGGGTATGCTTTAGATTAGGAAAAATGAAAAATAAATCCTTTCCCATGTATGGAGCATGCTTCTTTTGTTCCAGACATTTTATTGTGATTTTTAAACCAGTATGTTTATTTTCTCATAACCTTCTGTTTGGATTTATATAAACCAAAAGATCACTGTATCTTCTCTGTTTTCCAACTATAACTTCACAGAATTTAATATATATAATCTTTAATCCCAATTTCAGGTTGATAAAGTAACAGGCAGAGTCAACGGCCAATTCAAAACATATGCAATTTGTGGAGCAATTCGTAGAATGGTAAGTATCTAAAGGGTTTTTTTCTAAGCGTACGTGTTTGGCAGGCATAAGTAGCCTCAGTCCTCAGTTCTGACAAATGGTAAATCCACCAGGAGGTTAATATGGTAAATGGTGCCATCATCTCATGATGAGAACTGATATTCACCACCTTAGGAAGAACAGTAGTGACCAATTCATTTAAGAAAAGGTGAGCATGTCTGCAACTGCAGGCTAAATCATTAAAATTATGATTATTTGGGGTTTGTTTCTCTTTTCCTGTCCTGAAATATGCCTCCTTGAAGTTTGGTACATATTGTGGATATTATGTATAGGACACTCTGAATATATGAAATATTATACAGATATTGGGGCAACCATTTAATAGTTAATATCTATCCTTTAGATGGTTTTGTCTTCTTTTTATTTATATTGCTTATTTGTTACATTTTGTTGTTATCCAACAGACATACAAAATAAGGGAAATGTTAGGAGTGCATTTTTTAAAAATAAATTTATAAAAAGTGTCGTACATCAGAGCAGGAACACCTCAGATCTTAAACACCATATCAGCTTGGTAAAATCTGCAAGCAGTTTAGCGAAGAATATAAGTAAGCAGAGTAGTAAAATTAGCAAAAACAGTAAAGTTCTAAAACAAAGGTTAGCCCATGAGCTTCAAGGCAAAACAAGATCCATAGGTATAAAAATCCATGAAACGGGCACAAGAATCCATGAAACAAAGCAGCATGAAAAATCCAATACACAAATCAGGAGCTTGGCAAAAACTTGGTACATGAAACTAAGAACACTTGAAAGTAAGACTGTCATGTAATTCCAACGTTGACCCAACTGAGGCAACTATTTCCCATGAATTAATATAAAGGTTTTTCAGATCTCAAAACCAAAAGGAACGCATTTCTCTTGACCTTATCACCAGATTAAAGTTTCTTAACTCTCTTTTTCTTTAAACGAACTGATATTCTTTGCGCTTTAGCACTCTGTCTCTGATTACAAAAGCCTTGCTTTCTATCTACACTCTCATTAACTTGACTCTCATTAACTTCTGCACCTGACAAATCATCTTCAGGCAGGTGCTCAGAAAAAGATTGCAAGGACCTCTTGTTTGAGTTTACCTCAGGCCCAGGCAAACCCACATCCCCATTGCCAACAGACCCAGGCCCACTTTCAGGAACATCATCCCCATTCCCATCATGGGAATCAGACACAATCACAGGCTGACATGCAACAATAGACCAGTTTCAGGGGCAAAGTACCACCTGACATCCACCGGGAAGTAGCAGCCAATAGTGAAAGGACCAAGGCAGTGACATCTCCAGCTCATCCCTTGTTTGGGTATCAGCCAGCACGTCAACAACTTAAATCAAGAATTAGTTTTCTAAGATCTAGAAAGACACTCGCTGGAACACCTCAGCAAGCAAGAGTCCAAAAGTGGCAGGCTCAAACCCAGAACCTCAATCAATGGCTGATACCAAATGAGAGACTCCCCCCCTGGGCACACAGAAAACTGGGCGACTTGGAAGGCGCTGAACAGACTGCGCTTTGGCACCACGAGATGCAGAGCCAACCTTAAGAAATGGGGTCACAAAGGAGAATCCATGACATGCAAATGTGGAGAGGAGCAAACCACTGACCACCTGCTGCAATGCAACCTGAGCCCTGCTACATGTACAATGGAGGACCTTCTTACGGCAACATCGGAGGCACTCCAAGTGGCCACATACTGGTCAAAGGACATTTAATCAACTACCAAGCTTGCAAATTTTTGTTTTTGTCTGTCTGTTTGTTTTGTTCTGTTAGAAATGTAATACAATTGTCTGGTTGCCCCTGACACGATAAATAAAATAAGGGGCAAAGTGCAATATAGCTTTCTACACACAGATTTCTTATAGGCTTCTAGGCATTCCAAAGCAAACGTAAGTTTTTTAATGCAGGCAGAACTGTGTGAAATAGTAAAATTTGAGGGTGTGTTCTTAGCTACTTTAATAACAGAACTTATTTCTGTGCTTTAGGGAGAGTCTGATGACTCTATCTTGCGCCTGGCAAAAACCGATGGCATCGTTTCCAAGTAAGTTGTATGTATGAGACTGTGGACATTTGAGCAAGAAAACTTCCTTGCAGAATATCAACTCTTTATCTGGGATACAGTGTGGAAATGTACATCAGGCTTGTGTTGTTTTATCTAGCCCCTTAAACAATTTGAAAAATAAACATTTGTTATTTGTTTTCTTTTGTTTTTGCAGGAATTTCTAGCTGAAAAAGCACAATGATATGGAATTTGTTATAAAATAAAAACTGGGAAACATCTTTATGTGCAGTGTGTTTTTTCAACTTGCAACAGGGACTTTTTAAAAAGGGCATTTATTTATTATTTATTTATTTACTTTGCTTATATACCGCTGTATCTCAAGCCCGAAGGCGACTCACAGCGGTTCACAAACAGTAAAAACAGTAGAAACAGCAGTGGTTCCATACAACATATAACAATTGACTTAACACATTATCCATAAATTACCAATAAGCAATTACAATGCACAATTATTACAAAAAACAACCGTACCCAATCTTCTCATCATCCAAGCGTAGTCCAGGTTCGTCGTCCATTGTTCCATTCCTATGTTCCATTACAAGATTGCACTAATTATTCCAACGCCTGCTCAAACAGCCAGGTCTTCACTTTTTTGCGGAATACCATTAAAGATGGTGCTAGTCTAATGTCCGTGGGAAGGGCGTTCCACAGCCGAGGAGCCACCACCGAGAAGGCCCTATCTCTCGTCCCCGCCAGCCGAGCTTGAGAAGCAGGCGGGATCGAGAGCAGGGTCTCCCCGGAAGATCTCAAAGTCCTGGTGGGTTCATAGGCAGAGATGCGGTCAGATAGGTAGCTTGGGCCGGAACCGTTTAGGGCTTTAAAGGCCAACGCCAGCACTTTGAATTCAGCCCGGTAGCAGATCGGTAGCCAGTGGAGTTGGCGCAACAGGGGGGTTGTATGCTCCCTGCGCTCCGCTCCTGTTAAAATCATGGCTGCCGGGCGTTGGACTAGTTGGAGCTTCCGAGCTGTCTTCAAAGGCAACCCCACGTAGAGAGCGTTGCAGTAGTCTAAACGGGATGTAACCAGAGCGTGGACTACCGTGGCCAAGTCAGACTTCCCAAGGTACGGGCGCAGCTGGCGCACAAGCTTTAGCTGTGCAAATGCTCCCCTGGTCACCGCCGAAACCTGGGGTTCCAGGCTCAGCGATGAGTCCAGGGTCACACCCAAGCTGCGAACCTGCATCTTCAGGGGAGTGCGGCCCCATCCAACACAGGCTGTAACCCTATGCCCTGTTCGGCCTTGCGACTGACCAGGAGTACCTCTGTCTTGTCTGGATTCAATTTCAATTTGTTCGCCCTCATCCAGACCGTCACAGCGGCCAAGCACCGGTTCAGGACCTGGACAGCCTCCTTAGTAGCAGGTGGAAAGGAGTGACAGAGTTGGACATCATCCGCGTACAGATGACACCGTACCCCGAAACTCCGGATGATCTCCCCCAGCGGCTTCATGTAGATGTTAAACAACATGGGAGACAATATTGAGCCCTGAGGAACCCCACAAGACAATGGTTGTGGGGTTGAACAGGTGTCCCCCAACAACACCTTCTGAGATCGACCCTCCAGGAATGACCATTGTTGGAATGGATCAGATAAGGCAGTTTAAATAGTAGAAGTAGACATTTCTACCTAGAAATCAATTTAAATCAATTGAATGGTACTACATGAAATTACCAGATATCTCACTGCGAATTCCATGAAATCACAAGCTCATATTATCTGAGGTGCTGCAAATAAAAAATGCCATGCTTTCGAAGGCTTTCAGTGCTGGAATCACTGGGTTTGCCGTGAGTTTTCTGGGCTATAAGGCTATGTTCCAGAAGCGTTCTCTCCTGATGTTTCACCCACATCTATGGCCGTCACCCTCAGAGGTTGAGGAGTCTGTTGGAAACTAGGCAGGTGAAGTTTGTGTATCTGTAGAATGCCTAGGGTGGGAGAAAGAACTGCTTGAGGCAAGTGTGAATGTTACAATTGGCCACCTTGATTAACATTTAATTACCTTTCAGCTTCAAAGCCTAACTGGTTGCTGCTTGGGGGAATCCTTTGTTGGGAGGTTTCCAACAGCCTCCTCAGCCTCTGAGGATGCCTGCCATAGATGTGGACAAAATGTCAGGAGATAATGCTTTTGGAACATGGCCATACAGCCCAGAAAACTCAGTAACCCAACAAAAATACCTTCCTAATTTATATTAGGCATGTAGAAGCACTTTACAGAAGCACGCAGAGAAAAAATTATTTCTGTGTCAATCGATCCAATTGGTTTGTCTCTAATGCTCTTACTATTTAATATTTTCCCATGGTATAAAAAAGGAATTTGTTTTAGCAGTGCAATCAATTAAAATAATTTCCCTTTGCTTGTTAAGCTCTCAAATTGGAAAGTGCAGGATATTGCTGTCCTGTGATAAATTATCATTCCAAAGCATGTAAACAAGTTTTCCGAAACACTCAAGCACCTTCTGCTTCTCATAGCAAGTCATTGTTGCTGAGGTAAAAAAGCTTTATCTTCAGCTATTTGCTTAACACTGTCCAAAAGGCTATAGCCAAGTAGATTAAGAAGACACATAACTGACATTGCCTTTGTTATCTTGTCCCTCTCCTAATTCTGGCTAACATCCATCACGTTACACTATTGGCCTGATATGTCTGCAATGTTCTGTTGTGTTAAGGGTAGAAACAGTCTTATTTTAAACTTTCAATAATAGCAGGTTGAAATGCTACAGCAAATCCTAAATAATAATGTAAGGAAAATAGCTTCTAGGCTTGGATCCAATAGTAGCTTGAAGGCTATGTTGGAGTAGCAAATCTCCACAGAATCTCTGAAGTCAGAGCTTTAGAAAAATATACTTCACATAACAGACAGTTCTGAAGAACACTATTATGCATTGGAGATGTGTGTGTGTGTGTGTGTGTGTGTGTGTGTGTGTGTGTGTGTGTAGTTCGTTTGTGGGATTAACATAACTCAGAAACCACTGGATGAATTACTGCCAAATTTGGCCACAAGACACCTACGAACCCAAGGAGTGACCATCACTCAAAAAAAATTTTTTTTGTTATTTGGGGAGTTGTAGTTGCTGGGATTTATTGTTCACCTACAATCAAAGAGCATTCTGAACTCCACCAGTGATGGAATTGAACCAAACGTGGCACACAGAACGCCCATGACCAAGAGAAAACACTAGAAGGGTTTGGTGGGCATTGACCTTGAGTTTGGGAGTTGTAGTAAACATACATCCACAGAGCATGGTGGACTCAAACCATGTGGTCCCCCGCCTATGGAACACTCTCCCCAGAGACATCAGAATGGCCACCTCCCTCCTGCCTTTTAGACGAAAAATCAAGATGTGGCTTTGGGACCAAGCGTTCGATTAGTGAGCAGCAAGTAAAAGAATATTTTAACACTTATGGCAATGATTTAACCCAGACTGGATTTTAGACTCTGATTTTAATAGGCGTGTGTTAATCAATTGTTTTAATTATTGTTTTAATATTTTAACGTATTGTTGGTTGTTTTATTATGATGACACCATATGATGTTTGTGAGGCCGCCCCAAGTCCCTCCCTGGGGGTGAGAAGGGCGGGGTATAAATGTAGGAAATAAATAAATTAGTGCTTCATGCTTCAGTCTGAAAAAGGCCAAATGATTAAAAAGTGAATTTTGTTATCTATTTGTTGTTTCTAAGCACTCACAAGATAGTTTGCATGCAGCCCGTTTTAGAGAATGTAAAATCTTATCTGAACAAAACCAAACCAGTGAAGCATGGAGAGGTGTTTTATCGCAGAGGAACCTCTGCTTCCTAAGTCCTAGATAAAGGCTAGGGGTGGATTTTTCCTCCTTTCACCCCTTGTCTTTTGTATGAGCTTATCTTTAGCCTTTCCAGTTGCTATCAGTGTGAAGCACAAACCAACACCTGGATGTCTGGCATGGCTTTATTCTGGCAAGGCAAAGGGGGGCTTGGTGACTGGAAGTCCAAGTTTTCGGGTAGGCTCTAATGCTGCCAGAAACTTCTGCTGCAAGTGATCATTAGATTGCGCTTCCTTATAAAGCTCACTCTTCACAATAGAGAGGGATGTTACAATAAACACTTGATCACCCTTATGGCTGCTTTGCTTAGGATTGCTCCCTAAATCCTAAAAGCATTCACAGTCCAGCTCGAAATGTGCATGAAATCGATTGAAACAAGAAAGCAGCGATGTGCAAGCAGCTGCATAACCCATTCCGTCAGGTGGGTAATGATGACTTCCAGGTGTTTCTGGGGAGCCACAGCTTAAAGCTCACAGTTCTGCCTGCATTAAATTGCCGAAAGCTTGATTCAGTGTCTCCCATGATTACATCTTCTCTTTCCATGAGCTGATTAGCTATTCTTGGAAACAGATCTAACAGCTTCCTGCATTGAGAGGAGACATGATAGCCATGTATAAATACGTGAAAGGATGTCGTAAGGAAGAAGGAGCAGGCTTGTTTTCTGCTGCCCTGGAAACTAGGACTCGGACCAATGGATTCAAATTACAGGAAAGGAGATTACTCCTGAACATTAGGAAGAACTTCCTGACTGTAAGAGTTGTTCAGCAGAGGAACTCTCTGTGTCAGAGTGTGGCAGAAGCTCCTTTGGAAGCTTTTAAACAGATTCTGGATGGCCATCTGTTGCGGGTGTTTTATTTGTGTTCTTCCTGCAGGACGGGATTGGACTAGAATGCCCATGTGGTCTCTTTCATCTGTAATTTTATGATTCTACTAGCCGTCCCCTGCCACGCGTTGCTGTGGCCCACATGGGGGTTCTGTGTGGGAGGTTTGGCCCAATTCTAACGGTGGGATTCAGAATGCTCTGTGATTGTAGGTGAACTATAAATCCCAGCAACTACAACTCCCAAATGTCAAGATTCTATTTTCCCCAAACTCCACCAGTGGGCATATTGAGTATTCGTGTAGAGTTTGGTCCAGATCCATCATTGTTTGAGTCCACAGCAGTCTCTGGATGTAGGTGAACTACAACTCCAAAACCAAAGCACACTGCCTACCAAACCCTTCCAGTATTTTCTGTTGGTTGTGGGAGTTTGGTCTGCCAAGTTTGGTCCAATTCCATCGTTGGTGGGGTTCAGAATGCTCTTTGATTGTAGGTGAACTATAAATCCCAGTATCTACAACTCCCAAATGACAAAACCAATTTTTTTGAGTGGAGAACATACATTGGGTTGTTAGGTGTATTGTGTCCAAATTTGGTGTCAATT